AAGAGTGCAATTGTTGTGCTCTTAGATATTCAGATTAATAAATCTGTCAAGATTTTTAAATTCCATGGGGATGCTTTTTTCATATTACTATTTTTTGTACAAAGCAAAGAACAAAGAAGACTTCATCTAGCTTAAGGAATGTATGAATTATTGTAAAACAAAAAAAACCCAAACATAAATCTCACCTTTGCCACTGGCACATGTCTGTACTGAGGATGCAGCTATTGTGGAAGCTGATGAAATCAGCAACAGCTGCAGCCTCTGCTCACTGAGGGTTTAGAATGTGACACTTATGACAGACAGCCAGTGAATGAAAGGGTTACACCACCCTATGGCATTTGCTGGACCAGCTGCTGTTTCCATGAAAGTAAACAGTGGTGAGGCCAGCAAGCTTTGAACTGTGCCACTTCCTTCCACCAGAGACCTGGGGAAGGGGTTCTGCTAATGGTGACAGGAGGGAGCACTGCTAGAATATGGCTGGGAACAAGTCTGACATACCACTGAGGTCTTTCCATGTGATGTTTCCTTCATGTTGTATGTACACTTCTAGATAGAAGAAAAATCTATAGCAGCCATACAAAAATCAGAATCTGGTTTAAACACATAATTATTAGCCCTAAGTGCTAAATCAACATCATTAAATACAATTCCATTTTTATCATGCAACAGATACCCTTTCAGTCGCTTTTTCAAGAAACATTTTTTTGCCTTAAGTTCTTGTGTTTGGTCTGTAGCCAGAGGAAATTATTTTGGGAAAAGTGTAAGGCCACTTGGACAAGAGATCCCTGGGAAAGTGGACTTAAAAAAAAAAAAGAGGTGTTGTCACTTGTCACTTCAGAAAAAAGATTGCTTTCCTTCACTATTTTCTTGCCCACAAGCATATCTTCAAAACCTGGGTTAGAAGATAAACTCTATAGATTACCTTTTTTATTATGTAAGAATGTCCAGGATTTTCTCTCATAAGGAAAAGAACAACTTTTGGAGATTATCACCAAACAACCCAGACTACGACTTTTCCATCATGGAGCATTTAGCACCTATCTAACATGTCACTACTGTATATATAATTTGGAATTAGCATTGCATTTCACTCACAGAGGGTTTATTATGCATGGTAACAGTCTATTAAGATAACAGAAGCTTCCCAGACAAAGATCTCTTCCATATCCACCACTATATTACAATTCTATCACACCAAAGAAATTCAACAGTTTCTTCACAGAAAGAGAGCAAAAGGAATCACATGTCTGAAAAGTATTTTCATTTCCTCAGACTAACCACACATGCCTTCTATCACCTGTCTGCCCCTAGCACACGTAGCACAGAGTTTCAGCTACAGTCAATACAGTGTAATTCAAATTTACTTTGACTGTACTAGATATCAGTTTTCAAGAACCATCTAAATATTTAAGTGCCACTCAATCCTCTCCAGGTTTTTATAAACACTGTGCCTAGAATATCTTCCTTTATGGGCTATTCTAAACCAACAAGGAAAAGAATGCAGAATATTTCTATTTCTTACCCAGAAGACACAGAGTGCCTAGTAAGTCCTTCTGCAAAAAGGGTCAGCTTGATGCCTTCACTTGGTGGCATCTGTGGTATTTAGACACAAGGAAGAAGTGGTCTGTACCTCTTAACCACCTTACAATAATTTGTTTTGTTGGGGCTAAAAAATTGCAGTTCAGTGTAGATAAGGGCGTCAGGCTCTCAGAGGTTTAAATAGACAAGGAATCTCTGACATGGAAAGGATTTCAGTGCAAGCAAGGAAGGATGAAGGTCCAAGACAGATCCAGGCATATGAGCATCTTACTCTTTCTACTGTTTTTCTAGCACATGTGAAAAGGGTAAGTCCCCTGAAGTGGTTCCTAGTGACAGACCTACCTCCTCCCACAGTGAAGGGTCTCACAGATGCCCAAGTGGAAAAACCAATACAACTGGGAAAGGCTCCCCTGTTATCCCCCAGCAACTGGTACACATGGCTCTGTCCATAGCAAGGTTCACTGAGAAGCCAGGGTACACTTAGAGAAGTGTAAAACACTATTTTCTAACTGTGCCACAATATTACATAATCCCCCTTACTAACAATCTGATATTGCCCTTAAATATAATTTTCCTACATGTTCAGTTCTGTGTTTCAGACTCAGCAGTGAACATCCATATCTAAGTGTACCTGCACTGCAGCTGTGATAGAAGATCTGCAAATAACCCCAATGCACATAAGTTCAGGTATTTTTCTCTCCTAAAGACTCACTGGTTTAACTATACATTCAGTGACATTTTCACTATTGTAATGATTCCATAAGCACATTTTTAGGATTCTTGCCAGGGCTTTTCCTACACTAAGTGCTTGCATGAGTATATTTTTGTGTATGCTAATTTTTATAATAAACTTTTTAGGGTACTATTCTTTCTGACTGCCTGATGCTCAGGAATGGCTGTCCTACACTGACTGTTTTTTTTTCTATGAGGCTTTTCAGTAACACAAAAAATTATATACAGATGAATTGACTCAGTGTTTTGTTTTGTCAGCTTCCCCCCTACCTTAATCAAGCCTTTATACACATCACTGTGCACAAATATAAACTCCATGTGTATGTCAGAGTACATGCCACAGGCTACTTCACAAGCCTGCAATTATGGATGTGATCAGGTATCCTGCACTTTGGCACACAGACCAGGATATTTCACCCAAAGAGCAGTGGATATTGGGTGAGGCCCACAGATTATTATCTGGAAAAAATGTCAGCCAAGAAGGGTTATAGTAGTGGCCCATAAAATCATGACTGTTACAGGGAAATTATGATAGCTCTTCATTGACTCTTCCACACAAGAATTATAGGGCAAAGTTGTTGCTCAAATTCAAATTCTTTGGGTGGCTTTGGCAGCAAGAATAAAAGTTAAAAGCATTTGGGAAAACCATAATCTGTTTCAAAAATACATGCACAATGTACTAGAAGCTCTCTGGAGAAAACTGATAAGATTCTGCTCAGTCACTACATAGAAATGGTTTCTTACAGTTTTTCTTTCATTTAAGGGAGTGAGACTCCAAGAAATAGGTAATATTACACAATTAGACTCAAGTGCTCAGCAGGTGCAAACTGAATTTGACTTGTGAGGAGGAGCTTAAAAATGGCTTAATCAGGTAGGAAGACTGTGCACATCATGAAAAAATATATGAGGAAGCTGGGAGTACAAGCTGCAAGAAGTCAGCTGTATTGAAGTAGTTGTATTTGAGATCAGTTACAAACAAGAATGGCAAAATGCATCTCATTGTCTAATTTGCGTCTTGCAAGTAGTTGGACAAAAATAATCAAATACAGATAAGCAAGCATTGAGTCCACAAAACTAAAAAAAAAACAAAAAACCAAAAAAACCAACAGCCAGCCAGCAAGCCCCTCCCCAAGGCCAGATATTCTGCTCATTGACAGAAAACTGATAAGATTCTGCTCAGTCACTACATAGAAATGGTTTCTTACAGCTTTTCTTTCATTTAAGGGAGTGAGACTCCAAGAAATAGGTAATATTACAATAATCAGTTCGGTATTGGAGCCTTCCACAGCAGTCAAAGCCCTTTATACATCTGAATATGTACAATAAGATCTGGCCCATGTCTCCATAGTTCTTTATAGAAACATTTTCCCCCCTCTTTTCCCTAATTTCACCACTATTTCATACATTTTAAGAAGTTATTTCAGATTTTACTCCACAGAGTGAAATAGCAAATGCAACATTTCATTTGTATTCTCAGGTAGCACAAAGCATATTTTGTGATGAGTGCAAGAGAGAAAATGAGAGCAACAAAACGGTGGGGAAACGGTGGGGAAGCTTCCTCCCTTAACTTCAGGGAGGAAGATAAATAAGAAAGAAAAAAACCCTTCCAAACAAACAGATGGACAGACCACTGGTATTACCAGCCTTTTGCCTAATTTACATTCAGTTCTCTCATAACTACAGATTTGAGACTTTACATTGCTTCAATTTCTATATGATGGTTTATCCCTCATTTTCCTCTTCGGATTTTGTATGAAGACTTCCTTCTCTGAGAGGAATCCTTAAGGGAATAGCTGCCCTTCTTTTAAACTATCCAGAACTGTGATCTGCAGTTACAGTCTCCATCACATGGGCAATAAGAACCTAGATTTATACTTTGCTCATTGGTGGTCCTAAAAAACCTACAGGATGCAATGTTCTCTCTTTGGTCTCCTTTCTTCTCTTGGCAGAGGCACCTTCTGGGTGCTGTGGAACAGGCTTGCTCTCCCAGACCCCGAGATGTGACCCCCCTCTGTATGGCCTGCATGTTTTTCTCAGGCCATAGTGATCCTTCTGAGCCCTTGCAGCAAAGAACAACACCCCTGCAACTCCCCTGCAACACATGCGCAGCCCAAATCTCTCTTTTCGATGACTCTTTATTGCTTCTTTAACTGTATTTACACTAATTTTCATGTACTACCCATTTTCCTGTGAGTACATATCACCTCTCCCTTATAAAATGTTAAACCATCAGTTTTAAGTGAATAAAAAAATTGAATTTCAGATACAACTGAAAGTTCAAATATATATACAATTAACATAAGTTTGAACAATGGATGAGATAGATTCTCCAAAGAAATGTCTAAATTTATGACATAAATAAAGATGCAACAAGTTTCAGTTTTAAAAAAAATGTTTCCCTTGCCAATGTTTAACTGGCAACAGTCAAACTACTAGACAGTTCACTTAAACAAAAAAATGTCTACATTATATTGTTCTGCTAAGAGATGTCCACAAGCAGTAACACACATGCACACAGTAACTCTGAACTGCAGCATCTTATAATTTAATTTATTCTACAAAGTAAGAGAGTATTGGATCATGATTCCAAACCAAATATAGGGTTCTGTAAAAAAATTTTATAATTGTTTGTTATCTTCTGATACTGGCCCTGATTCCCCATTTTACACCTGTATGCCTCACAATTAGGATATAATGTGAAAAGCCTGGTTTTGCAGTACCCCACTCACCTACTGGAAGTCTGCACATTAGCTAAGACCCAGGACTTGCATACCAAGCTGTCGCAGTGCCTCCCCAAATGTCAGCTAGCCCGGTGTCCTTGGCACTGCGGGCAGCAAGGGCCACATTCACATGCCACTGCAGGCCCAAAGCCACCAGACTTGGAGAGACATGGAGCAGCATTGACAAAAGCAAAGGAGTGGTCCTTTTGGGGGCATCGACAGTCTGAGTTTATTAGCAGTCTTAGGAGACAATTATAGCCTGAAGGGAGATAAACCCCAAAAAGCCCTGAGCAGTGTGTGCATGGCCTTTTATATGGGGGAGGAACAAGGGGCGGGAACAACAGTCAACCAACGGGATGACAACTGCGGGTGGAAACCGAGGTGACAAGCAGTGGAAACATCCAATGGGGTGAGAGGGAGGGAGGGGACCCCGGGAACCAGCCTATCACCCGAGGCCCTGGGTAGAACTTTCTAGGTGAAAGGGAGGGGCCTCAGAATAATGGACAGGCCCCAGGGAGGGGTCAGGGAAGTGACTCAGCATAAATGAACCAATAGGGTAGGTAGAGGGAGGGATGACTGGCAGACAGAGGGGGGAGGAGAAGAAGGGAGGCCGGACCACTTAACATAAAGAGGGGGAGAAGGAGCAACCATAAGGGGGGGGGAGACACTTAAAACACACCCCAACACCAAGCCTGCTTTCTTCTCTTGCTAAAAGCATCAACATGCCATCAGTAGAATCAAACTTTTTACCCATAAGGCTATTAAATTTCTCTCCTAACATCTATTTTCTTAACTTACTAGGATAGTAATCTGATTTTTGGAGGGGTGAAATCACTTCAGGAAGAAGATGAAAAGTAAAAGGTAGGGGAAAATGTCATTTAGAAATTGTAACTTTTTTTCCTTAGTATTTTGGGATTTATCTGATTTCTGTGATACTGAAAGACAATGTGAAGTGGGACAGTGTTTCCCTAATATCTTAAAATATAATTTGAAAAAAACCTTTAGCAATTTTTTTTTTCCAAGAGACATTATTCTTTACTAACAGCTCTACCAATAAAGGGTATAAACTGGAAACAATAGGCAACTGAAACAGATGAAGAAGATGGACATGGGAGACAACAGAAAAAAACACACTTTAAAAAATTATGTTCATGTGAGAGGAAGTAATGTGAAACATGAGGATTGAATACATAGGAAAACCTGGAAATGTTAATGCTGAATGATTTACAAAGAAAAATAAATACTGAGTTCATAGGAATAACTTGAGCCTTTTAGTTCAGAAATTATCCCTGAACAGATCAGCATTTAAAATTACTTAAGTAACTTTTTAATATGAGTATATTCCACTTTATAGACTTCACACAAAATTTTCATAATCCCAATGGCTCTAAGTACCTACTACTCAAAGCATGCAATGTCATTTAGTTTGATACTGATTCTCACACTGTATAACTTCCAGTGCAACACAGAAGTCTCTAAAGTTGACTGTACATATGTTCCAACACAAATGGATTAGTTGAAATCCTTCTGCAAATAAAGAATTTATATGACAGCAAACTCTGCGTTTTGTTAATCCAAATTTTGACTTTTTATTCATTTGCTTCTTCTTCTTTGTAATGTGCTTTTACATACTTCTGAAGGCTTTTACATACACTGAAGGCTTTTAGTGTTTGCCATAAACTTTCTCTTTCAACCAAACTACCCAATCTCTCCTACATTTCTCATAGGTAAGAAGTCCCAGACCACTGTGATCCTTCTCTGCTGTATTCTGACTACTCTGCCTCTGTAGAATCATATCTTTAGAAGCTGGGTGCTTGAAGTGGGCCCTTGTCAGCTCTGTGGAGAATATGGATAGTTTCTTATGCAGAAAGACATCTTCTTGCAGAAACAGTCATGTTTTAGAAGTACTGTGTGTTATGTGACCTAACAAATGCAAGTGGAGAGAAGGTGGCACCCCAAATATGATGCAATAAGATGAGAAAAGCCAGAATTGGTCTTTTTTAGTTGAAATAAATTAATTTTCTGTCTCTGGATATATGGGTTTTGTTTGTTCAACCTGTGTTACTAAGCACCAATTGAATGACAATGAATAATCAATCAATAGGAACACACTGAGCCCATTTCACTGCTGCACATGTATCATTTGCTGAGCAAAAATCCAAATACTCCACCTAAAAAACAGGAGGGTGTTTAATAGTTGGGGAGCTAAATTAAGAGCTACAAGCCACCTCTCTAATGACTCACTATGAAGTTTTTTTACATCGACCCATTATAGCACAGCTACATATGTACATGCATGCAATAAAAAACCCCATACCCCCCAATGCTAAATCAAACAATTATATAGAAACAACACGCAAAACCTATGTTCATTCTTATTAAAAGGTCACAGATTCTTTCCTCATATATAGTATAATTTATTCTCAATTGTCTTAGGAATGTGGAAAATATGATAACATGAAATGTAATTTGGGAGCATTAAGAAAGTTAAATGTTTATATTCAGTAAACACCCTTGATCCTTCTGTAGCCAGTGTACACAGTGCATATTATTTTAAAGCAACAGATTTAAATATAACTGCATTACCACTTTACTCACAAGCCAATCTACAGACTGTGACTGGTTCCCAACTCTCATTTTTAAGTAAATAAATTAATACATATGCTGGAAGTTCCCCCACCAGACAGTCACGCTTGGAATACACTGCTCCCTTTCCTAAAGATCCAAAGTTCAGTCAAACAAGGAAAAAAAAAAATCTCTTGAGGACCCTCCTATTTCCCTCTTCTCATAAGTCTGGAAAAAAAATATGCTGAAGAAAAATGAGCTCAGATTTGTACATGAGAACCTCTTTTTTGATTGACAATGAATATTACATAGGTATGTTAATGTTAGGGGTTTTTGGCAGAATTTCTACAGAACCTAAATGTTATACAGAAATTCTTCCCAAAACAGTTTTACTTGAGTGAAAATGTTGGAACTCCATAATGCCTTTCCAAAATCTGCCCTTTTAGTAGTTTTTAGTGATTTTTTTTTTTTTTAAATCTAAGAGATCCATACATTTGTTAGCAAAGTTTACCACAATTTTAGCAACTTAAGCAATGGGACTATGACCCATTGTAGGGATCTTTCTTACAAAAATAACTCCCAACAAACCAACAAAAAAAGAGCAAACAGCATAGCCTAATAACAAAATTAATTAATAAGATATTTCTGAAGTATAGCCATATTTGAATCCTCAAGTTGTAATTTTGGAAAGTTGTGAACTCTTAAAAAAAGTTATGAAAAATGTAACAGGATCAGCAAATTTCTGGAGTGTTATCTGACATTGGCTTTGTCTTGTGTCCCTCTGTGGATTATTCCACAGTCAGAAGCTTTGATCAAGTCCACCTCTTCACTAGCTCTCATGAACTTCAGCCTGAAAGATGCTGCTCCAGAATCATAAAGTTGGTCTACAGAGACACAGTTTGCAAAGGCCCGATGGAAACTTGTCCTCATGAACGGAACACCATGAAAAAAATAAATGAAATCACTTTTTGTTGTTACCACACTGTGGCATTTGCTATTACTGTACTACTTCACCACCTGCAGTATAGAGGGAAGAAAAAAAAAATGTTTTTTGCTGGGCAGAGGAAGTGAGTTTGAGGGTAAGAATCAGAGTATAAGACTAAAAGTGTTAAAAAAAACTTTAAAATAATCTTAAGCAAATGGTGACAAATCTAGACTTCATGAAAAAAGAGTGCATTACATAGCCTTCAAGCTGCCTGCAACTTCATGTCAGTTTGATTTCTTTTGTTTACCATAATTAAAGAAACACTAAAAATTTTCATTTGCTTCAGGCAACATTACTATGATTTCAAAGTACACCCAAGTGCACCACCCTCAGTCGTTCACAGACAACAACAAGTTGGCGAGTGTTGATCTACTGGAGGATTATGCTCTGCAGAGGGATTTGGACAGGCTGGATTGATGACCTGAGGGCAATTGTATGGGGTTCAATAAAGTTCAATAAGTGCCAGGTCCTGCACTGGGGCCACAACAACCCCAGGCAGCACCACAGGCTGGGGGAAGAGTGGCTGGAAAGCTGCCTGGCAGAAAAGGACCTGGGGGGGCTGGCTGACAGCAGCTGAACACGAGCTAGTGTGTACTCAGGTGGCCACGAAGGCCAATGACATCCTGGTCTGTACCAGCAATAGTGTGGCCAGCAGGACCAGGGCAGGGATTGTCCCCCTGTACTTGGCACTGGTGAGGCTGCCTTGAGTCCTGTGTCCACTTTTGGGTCCCTAAATTCAGGAAAGATATTGAGGTGCTAAAGCCTGTCCAGAGAAGGACTATGAAGGTGATTAAGGGTCAGGAGCACAAATCCTGTAAGGAGTGGCTGAGGGAGCTGGGGGTGTTTAGCCTGGAGAAAAGAAGGCTCAGGGCAGCACCTTATCATTCTCTACAAGTGCCTGAAAAGAGGGTGTAGTGAGGTAGGGGTTAGTTTCTTCCCTCAGCTAACTAGTGATAGGATAAAAGGAAATGGCCTTAAATCTGTTTAGATTGGTTATTAGGGAAAAAAATCTTCCTGGAAAGGATTGTAAAGCCCTGGAACAGGCTGCCCAGGGAAAAGGCTGAGTTGCCATCCCTGGAGGGATTTAAAAGATGTGTAGATGTGGCACCTGGGCAAACAGTTTAGTGGTAGGCTTGGCAGCGTGGGGGTAATGGTTGGACTTGACGATCTTAGAGATCTTTTCAAACTGAAGCCATTCTGTGCCAATAGAAGAAGAGCTCAGTACATGTTGTGATTTTCTTTCTTCCATAATACTAAGCAAGCAAATTAATACAAAAATGTTATTGAAGAAAAATTATGGAGAAAACCAGCTGATAGTTCCAAATCATTAGCCAAGTACATATAACAATGCCCTCCTCATCCAAAACTACTCATCATAACAGCATGAGAAAGAATGCAGTTGTGGTATTTCCTCCAACACCAGAAAAGCTGAAAGAATCCTATGAGAAACTTCTTTCCAGCATCTCTGACTTCTGATGACTATCCAAACCAAAAAGTGAACAAGGACATAACCCCAGAGTTTCTCTGGAATGTATATCTGATTAGACAACATTTTATCATTCAAAATTGTGATAAACCATGGCACAGACATAGGGGTGTAGCACGTTTGACAGCATCTTACACCAAATTTCTCTTCACTGAGTGGTTCTTTGTTCAGAGCTGCCTCAGTTTTGCTGCATGGTAAGAATATGCAGAGTTGTCAAGCAGCAGCTGACTTGCCAAACAAACTACTTCCTTCTATACTCAACTGTGTACACCCAGTTCATTTCTGAACATCTCTGGGAGGAATTACTCTAGAATTGTTGCTCAGAAGCCTAATGGAGCTACAGAGAACTGACTCCATCAGTTTAAAAAATCAGAATAAAACAGATAAAACCTCACCCAAAAATATACAAAAAAAAGCTTCTTTAATTCACATAAACTTCATCTGATGTCTGTGGGACAAAACAATTTTGGCTTAGAGCTTATGCAAATATTAACAATAACATACAAACATTGAACTGTTTGAGAAAAAGTAACTGCTTGTTCATTCCATCCAGTCCAACATAAATAGAAATAAATGCTTTAAGATATGAGCCTTGCATTTGGATGGAGTAAAAAGGCTTTGACATAACATGCTATGCTGAGACTTAAAGCTTCAGTAGTTCAGCCTGCCTTTTCTTGTTGCAAGTGCATGAATGACGGATGCTAGAAGAGTTCCTGTTCTTTTGTAAAATAAACAACCTTGAACAGAGCACTCACAGAAATAAAACAATGTCAAGTTCTCTATACTTTTAAAAGTTTGTAACACTGACCTTGGACATGGAGATGGTTTCTATAAGCAGTATGATAAAAGAGTCTAAAAGTATTCTAGTGCAAAAGAGCCACATTGTTAGAATAGCATAAGTCTACATATCTTGCAGAGGAGAATGCAGGGTCTGTACTAGACACATTACTCTCCTTCTCTGTCAGTGGAAGTACAGTGTTTTTAAAAAGATAAGATAATTATGGATGCCTCACCTCCCTGACATTAATATAACTGATCTGCACTAGGAGAAAAATTCTGTGAAAGAACATGGAATGTTCTTTCCTTTTATTGATATTCATCTTAATATGTCGGCCAAGGGGAGATTGGAGATGAGGAATACTGGAAAATCCTTTCTGCAGGTTGGTTTCTAGGTTGCCACTGAAGTCTCACAAAGAGAAAAACACAAGTGAAAAACCAGCTTACTAGTATCATCTTAAATTAAAAGGTCTCAGTTAAGTAAGTGGTGAACTTCCTCTCCTGTCATTGGTCTAGCATTACTGAATGCATTAATAAAGACTACTTAAAGCTTTAGATAGATTAAATAAAAATAGTAAACACTGATCTAACTCCTCCACCTATATGAAGAGTATGAGAATGTATCGATTATGCAAAATGAGACAAGTTTATAGAACCAAAGAAATTGTTATGAACTCTATGAGTTGACTGAATTTCTAGAGTTAGGAAAAGGCCTTTGTCCAGAATATAATACATATTTTCTATTCATTGTTTCAAGGTAATGTGTTGAATGGTCACAAGAAAAGAGAGTTTCTTTCCAGATGAAATGCCATGGCAAAAAAAGAGACCAAAGTATCAATTTGGGAATGCATGCAGAAATGCCAATGTATCATTAAGCATTTATTTTTTTATACTCCTTTACTCCTCCTGGTGAACATGGTGGCAAGCAAATTTCTTACTCAATAATAAAACTCAAACAGTTTGTAAAATCTTAAGAGTGCTGAAATTTACTTGAGTGTTGTATGTGCTCACCAACAATGTAAGACAAACTTTTCCTCCACATCAGAACTTCTTTTGCTGTAGCTGCTGACCAGTAGCAATGATTTCAAAGATCAGACACAAGCTGGACAGAGCACTCATGTCTTCATCATCATGCTAAGAAGAACTCAGAGGATTTGTTTCCATAATTGACGGCTCTATTAGAAGCCCACTAAAGTACTTCGTTCTTAAAAATACAG